CCTTAACCATTAGGCCACATGCTGGGTCCAATCTGTATTTCTTTATAAATCATTCAGTCTCAGGCATTTCTGCTTGCAATGCAGTAACAGATTAGAGTAAAAAATAAAATAAAATAGAAAATGAAAAAACAACTAAAAAATCAACAAACCAAAAACTGGCTCTTGGAAATGAAAAATAAAGTTGACAAACTTATAGACTAAACAAGAAAAACAAAACACTCAGGGCTGATCCCACGGTACAGTGGTTAAATGATATGCAAAAGCAGTCAGAGTAAGCATGGCCAATTGCAGTTTGAGTCTTCATCCCAGTGGCTTGAAAAAAAAAATGTTAGAGATGCTAGCAGATTGAGGAATTGTTGTATCGCTGAACTTCCATGGAGTCAACTCTAATTGGAATCCCAAACCCAGTGACTTAAACTTATACTGGTTATTCATGATCGCTAAGACATGGAACTAACCCAAATGTCTATGAACAGATGATTGGATAGAAAAACTGTGGCACATATACTCTATATAGAATATTATTGAGCCATAACAAACAATAAAACACTGGCATTTGAGAGATAGTGGTCAAAGGTAGAAGATTTATTGTTGAATGAAGCAATTCTGGCTATGAAAGAAAGATATTGCATGTCTCAACTTAATATATACTGACTATCCACACGCTAGAGTGGAGATTGAAATATTAGAGGAAATAAATAAAAGCAGTGAAAATAGTTACAGATACTGAAGACAGTGTGGAAGGAGGGGGAGAAGGGAAGAGTACAGGGAAAGAAATCAGGGAGGAAAAATAGGAAGATATGACATTTGTGGGACACAGAAATGGTTTATTATCTGTTGATGTAACATGTATAATATTTTCAACTGGATTGGTCTGAGAAGTATTTCATGTTGGTTAAATTTTCTTAACAAGCCAAATGATGTATAGTGATTGAATGTTTAAAAAAAAGAATAATTAAAATAATTAATAAAAAAGAATCTGAAAAAAATGAAAATGTTTTTCCATTTGCTGCTGCTGATGTGTATAGTAATGACTTTTTTTCCTTCTGACAATTTTTTTTATTCATTTACATTCATTCCCTGAGCATCATCACAACATACTAAATGTGGTTTCCCATGAAAAGCAGCGATATTTTAGTCAAGTCACAGAATGTTGTTTCATCAGTTCAGTCTCATGTACTTAATCTTTCTTCTGTTTCTGTTGAGGTTCGATCTTCCAGGTTGAACTCTGGGATATAATACTCAACTCCAGACTTTGTCCCTACAATTAAGTTGCCCATTGTCTTAGTTTCTAAACTCTTATTTCTGTGTGTCTGCATTTAATTTTACCGACATAGCACTCTCATAAGAACTTCTTGGAGATCTGGTGTGGTGCAGGTAAATTCTTTCAGGTTTAGTTTTTCTGGGAATGTTTGTGTCTTTTCTTCCCAAATGAACAATAATCTTGCTGGGTACAGAATTCTCGGCTGCAGTTGCTTTTCTCTTAATACTTAGAATATATTTTCCCATTCTTTCCTTGCTCTCATTGTTTCCAATGAGAGGTCTGTCATTAGTCTGATGGGATACCCTTTGTAGGTAACTTGCCGTTTTTCTCTTGCCAGTCTTAGTATCTTGTCTTTGTCTGTTGTTTTGGTCAATCTGGCTATAATGTGCCTTGGAGAAGATCTTCTAGGGTTGATTTTATTTGGGGTCCTCTGTACTTCTTGAGACTAAATCTTTGAGTGCCTCTCCGGGTTTGGAAAGTTTTCTTCCAAGATTCCATGGAATAGATTATCAATGCCCTTATGAGTTTCTTTGCTTTCTGGTATGCCTATTTTGCTGTTTGGATGTTTCATTATATCTAGTATTTCTCATATATTATTCTCAATTTTTGGGCCATTTTCTCAGTCTTTCTGGTGGATTTTTCTAGGCCAGCAATTTTCTCTTCTACATCTGAGATTCTATTTTCTATATGATCTAGTCTGCTTTTAATACTTACAAGGGAAATTCTGACTTCTTGGATTATAGCCTTCATCTCTAACAGTTCCATCTGATTCTTTTGTAAAGTGTAAAATTCCTCTTTTAGATTTTGCATGAATTTCCTCATCTCCTGAACTCCTCAACTCCTTTATCCTTCCTCTTCAGCAGTTCCTTGTCTCTCTTCTCTTTCATCTCTGTAAGCTTTGCCATTGTGATATCCTTTTCCCTTGGAGGAGAGGTATTTTCCTCCCCATATTTCTTGTGGTCCTGCAGCGATTTCTAGTCATTTGATGGATGGTCAGTTTCTTCCCAAACTTGGAAGTTCAGTCACATGAGTTTTGTATGCTGGAGGCTGAAATATCAGTGGGACCTCTTCATTTCTCCGTTTCCCCCAAAATGGCTAGATCGCAGGAGCTATGGAGCTATCTCTTGAAGAAGGCCTGTTCTGTTCCCTTCTGCCTTTCCACATGTTTTGTATGCTGGAGACCGAATTATCAGTGGGCCCTCTTCATTTCTACTTTTCACCCCAAATCACGTATAGCAATGACTTTGTCTTGACTGGTAATCAAGCTGAAAAAAGAAATGTTAGGCATTACAAAGACATATTTGATTAAATGTAATATAAAAATATTAATCAAATAAAGTAAGAAAAAAATAAAACAAACAAAAAGCAAAACAAAAATTCATATTGGTCACTTATGTGTGCATGCCCAAGATCATGACGGGAGAATAAAGGAGACGGGATTGAAGCTGGCTCATCCCTCTTGGGGGTGGTAATCTCTTGCTTCCTGTCTTTCTGTATCTCCAGTACATATGCACATCCTATAGCAAAAATCACTACCCCCAAAATATTAGAGATCATGAGAGTAAAAATCTTGAGTGGACAGAAATGTAAAATAAAAAAGAATTGTGACCACACCCCACTGGGAGGTGCTTTCTGTCTCTCTGCCTCTGGTGAGCACTGATGACCTCTGGGGAAAAATTCAGTTACTAAACCAAGAAATCAATGAGATTATCTTTCAATTATCAATGTAGAAATAAGGAGAATTTTAAGAACATTCTATCAAATATATCATTTTTATAAAATGGTCAAGTTTCTAGCGAGACTAAAACTAAGTCAAGAAGACAAAGAAAGTATGAATAGGCCTATAACAAGAAGGTAGGTTGGATTAGTAATTAAAACAACAAAACAAAAACAAAAACAAAAACAAAAACTTTACACAAGGCTAGTTCACTGATAATGTACTGCTCTTGTTTTAATGCTGTTTCAGTAGAGCTGAAACATGCCAAGTTCCCCAATGCCCAAGATCTGACAGACAGGATGATAGGAGGAAGTGGATGTTAGACTCTGTGAAGGGTGCTCTCTTCTCGATCAGAAATTTCCATTTCTCCTTCCTAAGTGTCATGCTTTATTATGAAGAAAAGAAGGAAGAGAGAAAGGAAAGAGGAAAGAGGGGTGGAAGAAAATGAACAGAAAGGGAAAGGGAGAAAGAGAAAGGAAGAAAGAAAGCACCACAAAAACAATGACTGGGATCAGATTGCTTCTCTGATAAGGTCTATTGACTGTTTTCTTAAGGATTTAGTGATGATATGCATGAATAAAGAATGTCTATCTTGTAATAACCAGTTAACATGACTTTTTAAAATATATAAATGCATTAGGTATTGTGTTGTAGAGTCTTTGGTACATAGTAATACCACTGGCAACCTAGTAATCTGTTTTTATTTCACAAGTTTTGGTGGCATTAGCAGTATGCTTTCCAGTGTTCTTATGAGAAGATATTTCCAGATTTTGTTTGTTTGTTTGTTTGTTTATTTTTGCCAGAGGTCATGCAGACCCACCAAAGAGTCAAACATGGGGAAGGATCAGAATCTATTTCATTTCTCCTTTCCCTCTGGATTTTGTGTACTCAGGCACAGGTTGTCTCTCTCAAGACCTGATCAGAAACTTGAACTGTGCCTTGTGGGATCTAGCTCCCTTAGGTACCATGCCCCTGGCTGATCAGTAAAGTGAAGGAGGGAGGGGGACGGAAGGGAGAAATTGTTCCCCAGAAGGTATGCCTACACAATCTCCTTCATCCTCCTCTCAGGATCATGGGCACATATATATACATGAGGTCCCTGTGGTTTTCAAATCACAAGCCAGGGATTTGTACTGTGGCTGCTCGTGTGGGGACCCAACACTTTAATCACCATTCTACCTGCTGCCTCAGCTTTTAAGGTTGAAACAATACACATCAGAAGTTTCTCTGGTATCTGGGTATTGCAGGTCTCAATCAATTTTTTATCAATATGTACTGGCATAATAGCATCAATTTTACATCAGTGAGCAGTACTTTGAATTTTAATGTTTACTGCATACCAAGCACTGTTCTAAGCTTTTCACATAGTGCCAGATGTTTAATCTCATTTCCATTTAACTAGTATTTCGAACTTCTCATCATGATTATATCGCATGGATCCTTTTATCACAGTTTCACGTAAAAAAAAAAAAAAAAAAAAAAAAAAAAAAAAAAAAAAAAAAAAAAAAAAAAAAAAAAAAAAACAGAACAAAACAAACAAAAAAAAAACCTAGGGCATTGGTCTCTCCTCTAGTATTAATTCCTGGAGTATGAAATGGAAATCACAGTCCTAGTAGTGGGAAATTTTAAACTTAAAACTGTGCACTGTTGAAAACTCAGGAGCAGTTTCGACTTAATCTGCTTAAGCTGCAAGACCTTGCTCCCCAAGGGACTTTTCTTGAGCTCCCTCTCACGTAGTATGGTGAGTAATTTGTGTCATAATATGTGATTTATTTGGTCTATGTGGAGTAACCCACGGATGAAACATTCGTCCTATACCCATTTACTGGATCCAGCCCCCAGTAGGAATTAATACCAACCCACCCCACACATAATTAACAAGTCATACTAGAATCAAGGAAGCTTTACATTATTTATGAATGGGCGTTACCAGCCTACATCCTGGTTCTATATGCTAATTCTACCAAATGTCTCATTTCCGCTTCCAGTTCTGTGGCCGCCATTTTGTGTTGGTGGCTAAAGCAAAGTGGGTGTAGTTTGAGGGAGTGACGGTGCAAATCAGGTCTGCCCGAGGGGGCGAAAGTCCCGGTGGAAGAGCCTGAGAGTCTTCAGCGGCCTAATTGAGAAGAAAATTTCGGTGGTGGCCGCTTAATTTCGGCTTCTTCAGGCTCTAGCGAGAAGGCGACCCAGGAACCGGCATTGGTAAGGGACAATGTTTTACCGCCATGTTCCCTTCTACTCCCGCCCTCATTGCCCATCCCCCACACCTTCCTCCACATCAACTCAATCCTCACTTCCCTCTTCAAACCCCCACTCACACCCTCCCTCCCCTTCTACCTCCCTCCCTCTCTGATTCCCCACCATCTCTCTCCGTACTCCTGCCCAGCACTGCACACTCCTGCCCCACAGGCCGCCTCTCTCCTCCACAGCTTCCCCCCCCACTTCTCCCAGAGCCCCAGTCCTTCCTCCCTGACCCGTGCCCACTCTCCTTCCTCCCGGACCACCCCCACTCCCTCCTCTGGACCTTGCACTCCCCAATCCCTCCC